TCCTAGTAATATTGATTATTGTGTCTTACACAATTTGTACGCATAGTTTGACCAAAAAAGTTATACTTGTTGAGAAGCATGTACGAATATTAAATTCAAAATATATATAAATAATGAAATTACATGTGTGTATTAATAGTTATGGATTCATATAATATATACTCCTCATAATAGACAGCGATTTAATCAAAATAGTTTTACATACTATAAAATGTTGAATAAACATAAACTTTAAATTGTTTTCTGAGTTATAATGTTCTATATGTAAATATAGTAATCGCATTTCGAATAACCACTAACATGTAGAAACAATAACTATACACGAGAAGAGAGAGTTTTAGTATAATTTAAATACTAATTTTTGCATGTTTCTAGTATATATTGAATCATAAAAAAACGTAAGCTAAATAAATACTATTTTAAAAGATTTTTTGTAATTTCTGAAAAGGTGGAAGGTTTTTGCAAAATTATTAACCTACAAAACGATATGGTTGTTCTATGCAAAAATTATCTAGTAAATGTATATTTATAAACTTTCAATTATAAAAAAAAAAAATAATAAAATTTAATGTTGGCTTAATAGACTATTAAATTTTCTAGAAAAATAATTTTTATGTTAAAAAAAATGTTTTAACGTTATTTAACTAAAACTATATTTTATTATAAGGTGAAATGCTTTAATTTTGTAAAGAAATTTATTTTTGATTACAGAGACGTTTATTTAATTTATCTATTAAATTTTAATGAATTAAAATTGTTTTTAATCAAATAAGTTTAAAATTATGAAAACAAAATATTAATAGTAAAAACTTAAACAACTTAAGTTTAATGAAATGATGTTTTTAAAAACATAATATCTACATTTATCACAAAATTATATGAATGATAAAAAATAAATGTTAGAATAAAAGAAAAATTTAAAATTTTGTATTTATAACATTTATTAAATACAATATGTAAGGCTGGACAAGTTAATGATTTTCTTTAACTTGTTAATATTAAATTAATTGATAAATTTAATCAGTGCGCGTAGCCGGAAATTCCTTTTAGGAGCGTTCATAATTCTACAGTTCCATATTATAATCATTTTTTAAGATTAGTATGGTCAATTGGATCAATTAACCCAACCATTTTTAGGATGTAACATCTTTTGATGGGATAAATTTTTTTGATTGTAAAAACCATATGATAACATTAAAAAAATATAAATATCAAACACAAAAAAAAAGTACTTCATAACTTTATGTTATTTTATCTACTAACATTTTGTTTATATTTATGTAAACAAATTGTGGTAGACAGCGTGTGTAAACTAATATGTGGTTATCTCCATAGCAAAGGGACTTATATCGACAATTTAGGATTTTTTTTTTTTTGAAAAATACATATTTACATATGTTTAGAGTTTTTGGATTAAATAATCTTGAAGTATTATAGTTTTAAATAACCTGATTGTTAAGAGTCTCGTGTTTAAATGAAAACTCACTAATAAATTACTTAATATTTTTTAGCCGTTACCACATGAAATAATTGTTTGATGTGGTTGAGTTGTTGATATGACTTTGATAAACAAACAATTTAAACTATTTGATAAACAAGTTACCGTGATCGCATATTCGGCGAAATCAGTGAAATGTCAGGGAGCTACGGCCTCTCCTGACTATTTCAGGGGAACAATGATAATATAGTTATTTTCAAAAATTGCCGCAATGTTTTATTTAATATACGTATTATTTTTTGGTCTTCGACTTTTTATTTTTTATTTATATAATAAAAGCTATGGGAAAAAAACTTTTTTTGTATTATTTTAATGAAAATAATGCAAAAATATATTTTTTTCTAATGATTGGATTTGAAAAAAGTTCTGATTTCAGCACTGGGTGAAATTAAACTGACACGGTACCGCGTCGCTTCGTAATATACGGTGCTCCGCGACCCGCTCCACCTTTATAAGTTGTCGCCCTACTGTGGGTATATGGTAGTGATAGGAAATATCGAATAGTAGTTATTGAATTATTCGGTAGTCATTCAAAAACTATTGGAATAGTAAAAATATTCGATAATTACTCAATATATTATCGAATATATTTTAAAACTATTCGGTTGCATAAAAACAATTCGAACTGTTGATCAAATACTATTCAAAAGTTTAAAATATTCGAAAATGCCCATCACTAGTATTTGGTTGTTTGATTGACCAAAAACCGTGTGGCACACTCCACAGTGCAAAGTCCAGACCGACGACGACCCGCCGCAAATGATACGTTGAGCCTTCTTCGTGTTGTCGCGGTGACAACGTCGAGAATGTTCGCCACCGGCTCCGGACGACCGGACACGACGAACCGATCCACTCCCGCTCACCGTCGTCATCAACGCTGCTAACTTTTTGACGCCCGAAGATCATGTCGGACACCACGTCGCCGACGCCAGCGAAAGTGCCGCGATATTTGCGAAGACTTAAGTTAATGGTGTTGGTATTTTCGGATCTTTTTTAAATAATCTGCTGTTACTCATCATTCATAAACGGCCCACGGGTCTCTACCAACTGAATGTGTTTTTACAAAATTAATTTATATTCATGTTTCTATTGTCAGCTATACAATGAAATGTATTCTTTTCTGTCACTTAAATAATTTCGAAAAATTAAAATACACCGTTTTGCAAAAGAGACAATCATATGTATGAATAGCAATTGTAATTTGATTTTTAACATTTTTTTTTATCGCATTTATATTTAGAGTTTTATTGGAAAAAAGGTACTAAACAAAAAAATATCAAAGACGTTAATATGTTATATGAACGAAAATATAATAATTTGAAGTAAAATATAATTACTACGTTAGGGTTAATCATTTTAACTTTCAGAATTCTAGTCTACAAAAACAGTTTAAATAATAGCTAGTTTTACATGCTTTTAGCGTAAATTTTTTTTTTTATTTTTTAACGAAAAATAATATATTTACAAAGTCAAAGTGTTTTATTATTTGTAAAAACTTACTATACACTTCGGCAGTAATTTTTCACTTTTAATAAGTCTTATATTAGACTTGTGACAATCTACTATTATTAAAAACAATATTTTCTTTACAGATGCTTTGAAATGCTTCAAGTGGACTATTATTTTAACTATCCGTTTCATTCAACAATAACTCATTCGTGTTGTTAAGTGAACTCTCACAATTATTTGTACTTTCAATATTGGGATACCTTTCAATGATTTTTATTTTTGCTTCTTCGCCAAAATCGTTCATTAGACCAATAGTTTTAACATCACTTTTCAACGTAAAATCGATTAAAACAGGAAGACTACGATGAGAAATTTCTCGTCAGTGTCAAATACTGCACTAGTATTGTTAACTTAAACGAAAGTTGGTATCTCAATTTTCAACTTAAAACAAACAGAGCTAGTAGAGACTAATTTCTACATAGTATTTATAAGTATAAGGTCTATATTTTTGGAATATAATTGTAATAGCAAGAAAAATTCAATAATTATTTTATCCAGCTCTCACTTTGGCATTTGTACATGTATTTTATTGTCGATATTTCGTATATCTGCGTGTTTAACGATATTTAATTATATATGTTGTAATGAACGAAGCTTTTACTTTTAGATCGGTGCATTTAAGTATTTGCGTAGAACTTTCTCTGAGGGCTGAAATAGAGGAGTCAATATGTGAATTTCGTAAGTAATTCTTTCATTTTGTTCATTAGGCCTATTCAAAAAGAGAAAGTAAATTAATTTTTGTTGATTAAAAAATAAAATTCTAGTTTATAATGAAAACATCATATTTATCTTTGCTTATAAATTGAAAATACAAAACCATTACTTTGCCGACTTTCCTTGAGATTACACGAGGTTTGAGTTGACAAGGGCCCAAGCCGTTCTGTTAATTTACATTTGCATATGAAGCTCAACCTTTTTTCATTAATTAAATGAATGTATATAATAATTAGTATAACTGACGTCTTTAAATTCATAATAAAAATTTTTCTTAGATTTTTACAATTTTTTTTTTATAAAATTTAGTTTTGGCAAAGAAAATGTAGTCTCCATTTACAAAAAACACACCAAGTCCAAAATTATTTTTTTGTGAGAATAAACTTTTTTTTTATAAAAATTATACAAACTTTATAATGTTTGCCTGAAATATTTAATATCTTTATTCAATGATAATTTTATTTTTATTCATACAAAAGAGTTTAGTATCCATATTTGAAAGTAATAATATATTTCTAATAACAGCAGAAATTTTTCTTTGAACTGTAACCAATTATTAGTGAAATATATAAAATCATGATTTTTTATTTTCAATAAATGTTATAAGCCAATGAAAATTCAAATATTTTTAATGTGTCTGCAATACATTTAATCGTATTAAATGAAGCTTCTCATTTTTTTTTTAATCACATTATAATAATATTTCATTTCATTCGGTTATTATTTATTGAGTATTTATGAATCATAAAAAATGAAAAGTTTATATATTAGATTGAATTTGAAGGTATAAAATTAATAGATATTATAGTATTGGAATTTTTTTTTTTTATCTTTGAGTGTATTTTATCTTAATAAAGCAAGTACATTATAACATTTTAATGCACAATAACTTCTTTGATGTTTGTTCATGATTATAAAACGTATTGTATCAAGTAGTAAGTAACTGCTAACTGATACTCCTATGTAATTTTTATCGGAGGCACTTCAAAGATAAACTTTAGTCGATTTAATAAAATTCATAAGAGATGCTCTAAATTGTTCCTTAAAAATATGTTATGTACACATGTAACACAATACCGCAGGGATATTTCATAACTTTGATATTTCACGAACAAGTTGGACAAAAGATGCGTTAAAATATTAATATTAATTTGACGATTAAACTGTTTAAACCGCAAGTTGAACGCGGATGAAAAGCTGTGCCGGGAAATTCCACGAGTGGCGCGTTGTCGACCGGTGGCGCCCTCTGTGCCGGCCCTAGACATGCGGTCGCCAGTTTCGTGACCGGAGATCAGTTACCGCGATTCCGCCGAAGTAAATGCCTTCTCGCGACGGGTAACGTTTTCATCTACTGAGTACACGTGCAGTGGTTACGCGATATTTATTTCGGAAATAACGAGCAAAAAACAATCCTAACCAATGTAATTGCCCCCGGAGTAAGTTTTTTGACGGCATATTAACTACAATGCAAGATTAATCAGTCACATAGACATTTGACCGAAATACATTATCGTTTTACATTTAATTGCAACGACAATTAGGGCAGCTGTTGGCGTTTCATAATTGGTGAACCAGAATTTCGGTAAGTGTACAAAGAATTCACTAAAACACCGTCAATTAAAAAACAAACACTGAACTAAAATTAAAAACGGGGTAGTCAACAAAATTTACGGTTGTATGCTATTTTTAAAAATAACGTTAACTGTAACACGGACAAAACGTCTGGTAAAGCAGCTTTTTTTTTTTTTAATAAATATTGAATAAAGTCAATCGATAGCTATTATTAGTGTAACTTTTAATTTTCATTTGACATTTTCAATTATTTTGGCGAAAAACGTATGAAATAAATATTTCAAATAAATTACTTTTCAATGGAAATGAAATAGAAAATTGGAAATTTTAACTCTAAGGCATTCAGCTTTAATTTTATAACATTTTCACTCTTACAATTGACTTTAGTAACAAACATTTCAAGTGAAAAAAATACTGAAATGAAATTTGTTCAAATCATCTCATGTTATGAAATAAACAGTAATTTTTACATGGAAAATCAATATTTTCGCCGAATTAAAATGAACTGTTGCGTCGGTCGACACACAGAAAGCAAAAATATACCCCTACGGTATAAACATGTCAGTATTTCCATAAGTTGTATCTATTGTGCACTAATCCTTATGAGTTAACCAAAACCTCTTTAAGTCCGCCATCCTTTAACCGCATTTTATGGCTCGTAATACAATGACTTAGCAAATAGCAACTTTTATTGTATTAAACCAATAAAAAACATTTTATGTCTCGGTTACCAATGTTTAGCCCGGGTCGCATGATATGAGCAATGATATGTCTTCATTTTAATGAGTTACGTGATTTGTCTTAAACTGCAAATAAATCGCATGTTTTCGATGAAACGTTTTCATTTTGTTATAAATCGAATCACATTATTTTGACGAATAATAAATATAAAATTTGCTTCTAAATTGAACCCAGTAATATCCAAAAGCAACCCTTACTTGTTTTTTTATATTTGCGTCGAGTGGAGTTTTATAATGCGTGTGCGATAAATTCTTAAATTATATATTCTTTACACTGAGGTTAGGCATGTAAAAACTAAACAGTCACAAATCACTTACAAAGACCTGGCTCTAATGTCTACAGTGTAACTATTCTCCATTTTCTCGTTGCCTTGTTCCTTGCAAACTTTATTGCACATAGTCTTGTATGTTTTCTTGTTTTAGATACGTTTATCACAATCAAAATCCCTTCATATACAAAGAACAACCTACATTTGATTTGTGTTGTAAATAGAGTATTTTACGGGGAATCTTAAAACAACACCATTTCTCTTGAGAATCACTAACTGTCGCCACTCCAAAAGTAGTACTAAGAATGATTTAATTTTGTGGTTTTACTTTTAGGGTACCAAATGATGCAAATAATACATTTTATTACCACAAGAATGTAAGAAATTTATTACTCGATAAAACATACTGTGAAGTGTACTATAATTTTTTCTTAAATAAAAATCAAGTGCGTTGATAAAACGAGTACATATTTTTTTCCATAGTCATATGAAATAGGTGTAAATTAAGTTGAAGAATTCATATATTGTTTTGATCATATACATAATTTATGCATTGTTATATTAGTATGATTTAAGTAAAATCTTTATGATATCTTATTGAAATGACCCAATTAACGTCGGAATTGATCTAACATAATTAAAAACCTTTCGGCGTGACTTATCATATCGAGGATTACTCCAGATGTAAAAATTATTTATTAAAAAGGCTACGGAAGTCTGTAATTTCGTTATCGGTTTTTTATTTATTTCATTGTTTATTTTCAAATAAAGTATATTTAATTTAATTTAATTGATTTGTATCGTCGTTTAAAGATTTATTTTTTAAATAATAACTTTGTTTTATAATTAACTAGACATTAGTATTAAACAAAATTGATAATTATTATTTTGCTTAAGTAAAAAGCAAATTTATTTGAAAAGCAAATTTTAACAATTGTTTGAAAAAAAATTCGCAAATTTAAAAGATAAATAGGAAAATAAAAGTTTTCTCTTTATATTCATTTGTAAGTCTAGTATTAATATTTTTATTATTATCATGAAAAATTGATTTATGCAGTAATGTATTCTTAACTTTAGTACCAGTCTACAATATCTAGGTATTAATTAGTGTATGTTACGACTAAATATGAAATTATATACTTGAAAATGTTAGTATACAATGTTTACAATGCATGTCAAGAGCTTTCAAAGATGTCGGTTCTAATGATTTAAATCATAAAACTGTTTATAAATTATGAATGATAGTGCAACGTTGATCATCGTAGTTATATAAAATTATATAAATATGTTTCAGCATTAATAATAAAAATGAAAACTTTTGGGTAAAACTATTTTTGTGATTTATACAAAAATTGACAGTAACGTTTAGTATAAATTGTAAATGTATTTTTAAAAAATATTAAAAGCCCCGTTACGTTAGATGTATACATAATAATATAACTAACATTATGCCATTATGCCATAATTAAGACATAATCAACATTTTTTTGTGAATCAGTTTTGTCGGTTTGCAACAAGTGCTATTTTTGAAAAAAAAAAACAAGTCAAAAAGTGTATATTACAACTGACGATGCATATTCAAGTAATGGTTCGAGATATTTTTGTGTAACGTGATATATTGTAACGTATTAAAAAAGGATTTCCATTTATACTTAACGTGAATAGCTTATATCGTATTTATATAATTGAGGTTAATTCTGAGTTCGTAAAATATATTAATATCATAAGCGATTTTCACTTTAGTCATATGGACATTTTTAAAAGACCTTATTCAAATAAAATTAGAACGTTATATTGTTTATATGTATATTAATAATGAGTATAGATTTAATTTGTATATTTGCTTTTATTATTTATGGGATTTGCTTTAAGGTGTACATTTTATGGTAACTTGATTAAAAATTTATCTATATTTAAATTGTTGACTTCTAATTTTACTCTTTTGAATTGATTAGTGAAAATGGTTTAGTTCGAGTGTTTATTTTTAGTCACAATAGAACTGTTTGATATTTTTTGATTCTTGTTTGTTTTTTTAAGTCATACTTATGGTTATGAGTGTATGTGTCATACTATTGGCATTCTATCCACCGTAAAAATTCGTTTTAGAACAATATTATTAATCATAAACACGGCAATCGTAACATTTCAAAATTTTGTTTTTTTTTATCATCCTTGTCAATTGAGCGTCATATGATGTTGATTCACATAAGTGCTAATATTGTAGATAATCTTTAGCTATAATTATAAATATTTGTGATATAAAAAATGACTGATCTTAATATGTTAACGATTATTTTCGCGTGTCCATATTTCTAAAATTTTAAATCTTTATATTTATCATAAGATCTCGTCTCAATTAAATATGCAAAAAAACATTCTTATCGGTTTGATATGTTTGAATAATTATTGTTGAATAATTTTATTTATGTTACATTTTACATTATTACATTTAATGATATTATATTCTAGAGTTACATTAATATCTTTCGTTTATATAGTACTCGGAAAATGTTTTACGTCACATTATACACTGCCATGGAAAAACTATTTGATAAAATGTGTTTTATTTGTTAACTTTTCCGACGTGTTCAGGCGTCACAAATAATAAATCACCTGTTCGTCACATTTCAAAATGTAGTAAAATGTATTTATTATTCTAAACGATAACAATTCAATTAGAGTAATTTGTTATAATAATGATAGTTTTTTTTCAGAATACTCAAGGTACAATTAAATTTTAAACATTGTTCGCTAATAGAATACTAAAAATTAATCTCACAATTGCCACGTTAATCCCTCGTGTAGAAACGAACGAGGATGTAGAAAAAGACCCATTGAGATTAATAATAAACTCAAGACAGGCACTCGTAGAGGGATTTCTTATAATCACATCAAGTACATGACAATTTGGGTTGTTTAAAACTTCACGCTTCTGTGTCTCCAATGGGAATCTTTTCGGATTCGTCATCCTATGGAAATGTCAAAATTTGTTTTTAACAGTAAAAATAACCGACATTATTGATTTTGAAATCCATAGGGATTAGCCACGTGTGATTTTACCTATGATTCTTAACAAGCTCAAATTGTTCAAAATTGTTTTTCAAAATTTGACCCAGATAAACATAACAAGTTATGTCGTGAGATCAAAGAGGAATGAAATATTATAAATAATTGTTTAGGGCGAAATGGAAATACAGAACTTAACTGTGTTTTATTTATTTAACTACACGATTTATTTAGTGCTGCTTAGTAAGTATGAAATGGTCAAACGGAACGTCTTTCAATATCATGGTAACATTATGAAAAATAAAACAAAGTTCCACAACTGACACTCAAAAAATATTTGAAGAGTAAGACTGTCAAACGTTCTCAATAGCAACAAGAAAAATTTCGAGAATTGCATTCAGTCTATAATGCGTTTCTGGAACTATAAAAGAATGATACACTTACTCTTAATATACGCTTTTTTAAAATATAGTACTCAAACTTTAAATAATTCATAGAAATTCTCAAAATTTTAAGAAGCAATAGAAATGTACAAAATAAAGGAATTTATTAAAACACAAAAAATTTAAAAAAGATATAAAAATCACATAAATTAAGAAACCATAGAAATGCTTAAATTTTTAAAGAAGCCTTAAAAATGCTCAACATTTAAAAAAGCCATAGAAATTTACAAAATTTTAAAAAGTCGTATAAAAGTTTAAATATTAAAGAAGCTATTGAGATGCATAAATAATGCATTATTGTTTGTTTAATTCATATTATTTAATCATTGCATATTTATGTAGTGTCTTTCAATGTACAGATTTTAATTAACGATTTGTCAAATAATCGAAATTGTGTATTGTTGAAGACTTTATTCTTGAATTTTGAAAAAAATCCCTATTCCTTGTAAAATAAAACACCCAAAAACTACGGTTTTTTAAATCAACAAATTGCGATATTTAACTTTTTTACTTAAAATTACCAAAGCTTTTTGGAAAATGGACGAATCAAAA